ATCAAACACTTAACAGACTAAGTAAAATAAATTTTAAATATCAAGCCACCGTATTAAGTTTGAATAGTAAGTACCTTATAAATCTGTATAAGTAAATAGTGATAATCTTTATAAAAATACAAAATGTATTTCATGAATAACTAATGAATAAGTTTACATATATGTAAAATAAATAATTAAAAGTCACATTATTTTGTACTTAAATTCAAATTAAAAAAAATATATATAAAAATTAAAAACATTAATTAGGTACCTACCTATGTTCTAGAACTAGAGAATAGTTTAATGTATTTTTACTAAAAATAGGCTTTCAGGGCCACAATAAAAATACCTAATTGTTTGATATTCGTATATACCACCTATAGATAGTTGTAATAAAAATTAAATAAATTTCTTAATTTGTTTATAATAATGTAATAATATAACAAATGAGTTTTTAATTAATTTTTTTTATGGAATGGGACCTTACTTAAATACTATGACTCAACATAATACAAAAATAGGCATCCCAAAATTTAATCAAAATTTACTATGTAGTTGAGAATCAAAACTGTGTACAAAACACTCAAAATAGTAAATACTTTTTTTATCTGCATTAAGTAGGTACCTAATTGCATGTCAAAAAAATAGGCTCAAGAAATGTTAACATCAACAATGATGTAATAATTTCATCATGTAGGTCCCTATTATGAATCTGTGAAATTAAAAAATAACATACCATTTTTATTGGCGCCCGCCGGACGGCAACGCACCAGCGTGTATGAATTCCATCGTGACGGCTTTACATGTCTAGTTTTTGAATGAGAATTGCCTGCGTTCGAGAATGAAAATTGCAAAACAATGCGCAAAAAGTGCAAAAGCGAAGATAAGGAAGACAATGGTGAAACAAAATTGCACTGAGTACACTCCTCAGCTGTTATGGTTACGATTATAATTTATGTTGGACAAAACGTTAGTGCACGCAATAGAACGACGACGGAATGAAACTGGGCTAAGTCTACAATAATAGTGCGTTTAAAAAACAAAACTAATAATAATGCAACAACTCGACGCATAGTATATATACATAACAATATTCTTTAACATGCAAACTATTTATTATTTAATACTTTAATTTATTTATTTCACATTTTTAATCACTGCAATAATAACAACAATAATAATAAAGGAAATAATCGGGGACTCGTTATCATCTGTGCTGGTTGGTCCATATGATCGGCTGGCCGTCGGAACAGCTGACGGATTGTGTGGAACCGAAGGCTTTTGCACGATATTATTTCGCGGCTATCAACACCGCGAATTGCAATCTCCGCATTACATATTATTGATATTATTATAGTGTTTGGCACGACGTGTTTGCCCAAGGTCATGTCCCAGAATAATAATAATATTATTATTATTATTATTATTATAATTATTGTAATGAGTTTATGAGTAGGTAATACCTACATAAGTAGTTTAATTGGATTATACGAGTGTATATTATGGTAATAACGAAAATACACATTATTATTTATTAGGTAGGTACCTATATACTACTGTCTACTACTAGTATATAACATAATAAGAAATAACCTGAATACCGATGGCATATACAATATGGCTACTTTATTCAGACGGAAATTACACTAATTTTCCAATGTTTACGGTCAATGTTTAATTTTTGTTACAAGATGCATTAACATCATAATAATATACAGTTATAATAGCCGTATTTCACTATAGCCGTAAATAGGTAGGTCGTAGATTGTAGGTAATAAATTATGTTATTATTGAATTCCATAAGTGAGCTAATTATATTTAAATGAATATTGATTAAATTAAAGAAGGTTATTTCTCTAGGTACTTATCTATTTTTAACAACTTTATCATGTTAATGTAAATATTACATAATTATTAATACTTTGTAATCTTAAAATATATATTTTTTATACTGAGTCAACAATTCTATACTTATTTCGCTGCAATTGAATATTTTTCCATTATGTTTCGTATATTATAATTAATTAATTATTTCAATATGATATTTTAAAATATTTATATTTTATAATTTTAAGCTATTTTTAATTTATACCACTATCATATTATTCATAGCGTTCTAATAAGCCTACTACCTAAGTCAAGACTTATAAGTTAGGTACCTAATAACTAATAAGTAATAACTATAAAACATTTTAAATTTATAATAATAATAGGTATGTGATATTAATGGTCGGCGATTGGGGTGAGAGGGGTTTAGGGTTTCTTAGCAAAAATTGCATGTCCCTGTGAATAATATTTTTGAATAACAACCAAATAACCAAAATCCCTATTCTTTGTTTAATCCATTTAAATATATAGTTTCATCCAAATTTGAACTTCAAATATCGAAGAAAAAAGTGTTCGTATTTTTTGTAATGTCTTCAATATTTTACAAAAATGTTTACAATAATTATTTATTTTTAATAACAACATAAATATTTTCATTCACAAATGCATATGCCTAAAATTCCAATTAAATTAAGTACCTATTAATATACCTAATGTACTGTTAAATATTATTATAGAGTCTCAAATAATAGATTACTGTTATTGTCTCATTGATAGATGACGCCCACTACCGATGTCATTCAGAAATGATTAACAAACAAAAAGGTGGGTTAGTGGATGTCGCTTTGCTGTACAGTAAGCTACAAGTGGGTCACTGTCAAGCACGGATTAAGGATCAATTTGGCCTAGGGAACCATACACTTAGTGGGCCCTCTTTCAACTTTAACTACAAAATAATTGTATCATTGCAATATTACATATTAACAAAATATTTATATTGTTGTATAATTTTTTACTATACAAAAAATATACAGGGAGTATGTTATGTCATTGTACGCGATTTTTTTTTTTAACAATTACCTATGGATCGATGATATAGAATTTCGTTAAAACAAAAAAGAAGTCTCTTTATTTTTAACATGCAAATTTAGATTCTGAGTGGAACGATAAATGTATTGATTTTACAATGATGAGTTGTTTTTTTATTTTTTTTGTTTTTGTGTGTCATCACCTTTTAGGACAGTAAAAATGCTTAGATTTTCTTCAACAGTATCTTTTCTTATAGGAAAGTGAATTTAGTTGGTACTTTGGAGGGTCAAAAGTAAAAATTTTACACTAGTTTTCAAAAGTGCTTTGAAAAACAAAAGAAAAATTAAGGAAAAACTGGAATTTTTACTCAAAATCTGCTTTCGAAAAAATCTATAAAACAAAACATGACATTTTTACTGAATGTTTGTATTAGGATTTTCTATTCACCATAACATTTTCCAAATATTTTGACTTATTTTGAGCTGTTTACGGACATTTTCAGTTTCAATTTTTTTAGTTTTTTTTTTTTGTATAAATATCATAAAATGTTATTTGTTGGTCAAAAAAGCTTGACAATTTAATAAAAAGCTCCTATAGTATATTGTTTCAAAGGCAGATGAAAAAATTAAAAATACACAGGTGCAATTTTTTTTATAAGCATTTAAAGTTCGAATTTTGACAAAATGTATCAAATTTAAAATTTAATAATTATTTTTAGTCAAAAATGTATCAAAGTATAAAATGTTCAACTTTTATAGCTAAGGATTAAAAACTTAAAACAAGGTTCCACGTAAATAGTTTATATTATATAAATTACTTTTTCACAATATTACAATAATATCAAGTATACATATTATAGTAATATACTAATATCATAGGCTGACTGACCGTCTTTAGAGTAGTAGATTTACTCACGTTTTCGGATGTATCATTGTTATCAAGAACTGCATATTTGTTTGGAGAAACGAAAACTTTTGATTTTTGAACATCATGCGTCTGGTACTCTGGTTGACAATGAAGAATCCAACAGGTGACGTTTTGATATGTTATTCTGAGGCATTATCGAAAGAGACCGGCCGATACTATAGTACAATTAACTATTATAATTATTAATAATAATTTACCTACTATAGGCACCTACAAACATTTTTTTTTTGGAAAACTTTATTGGAGGAGTTATAAAAATATATTTTTGGGATAAAGATGGGCCCCCAGCACCGTACCCCCTTCCCCCCAACTTAATCCGGGCTTAGTCACTGTATAATAGATGATATTAAATTTGAATTCAATGATATAATATCATTGTATACGAAAAACGATTCTGAGCGGTGACGGTTTGTCAGTGTGGATATTTTATATTATAATTTATATTATATTTACCTATAAATGTAAAATGTTATTAATTACTTATTGAATTAATATTATAAATTATAAAATTACAACAAAATAACTAAAATCGTTATTCTTGGTTATTTAATATGTAATTTCCTGCAAATAATGTGAACATAAAATAACTATAAAAAAAGGTGGGTAAGTGGATGTCGCTCTGCTGTACAGTAGGTTACAAGTGGGTCACTGTATATTGGATGGTAATAAATTTGAATTCAATGATACAATATCATTGTATAAGAAAAACGATTCTAAGCGAAGACGGTATGTCAGTCTAGGTTTAAGACAAATTATATACATATCTATGGTATTAAAAAAAAAATCAGGGCTTGAAACCGGTAACCGATTTTTCCCGGTAACCGGTTACCATGAGTACTTTTTGGACTGGTATCCGCTTCCCGGTTCTCGAGTTTCAATTTTGAGAAGCGGTTATCAATTACCGGTAATCACGGAATTTGATAAAGGGGGAAATCTATAACGGTAACCGTTTATTTTTAGAACCGGTTAATTAATCGGAAGTATACAAAACCGTAAATCTCAAACCAATTAACTTAAAAATAATTTTTTTTTAATTATATTGAATATTCTAAATAGAATAAAATAATATTTATAAAATACTAAAATAGATTATTTTAGAACTACTAAGTAATAAAATTTAAAAATACCAAAACAAGCGTGTTTGATTGCGGAATCGTATCGGCGCACTAACAAAAGATTCTCAGTAGTCAGTACCTATGCTAACAACCTATTTAAAAAACTCTTATGAGGCACAAATGTGTGTAAAAATGTTTGCCGCATTGGCACTTCTTCCAGCAAATCTAATTGAAGAAGGCTATCAATGTATACGGCAACATGCAAGGAATAATAATTTACAACTAACTCCATTCTTCAATTACTTTAACAGGTAGATGGCCATACAAATTTAATCATGAATTGTGATCATTTTTAGACACTTTTAATTGAACTATGTCTTAGCTTTTGGTTACGGACAGTAGGCCCAGAAACATTTTCTGTTCATGGAATCGCTAGGAGAACAAATAACAATGTTGAAAATTTCCATGGACGTTTAAAAGAAAAATTTCAGACTTCCCATCCAAACCTATGGACATTTTTAAGTATGTCCTTCTTAAAATCTAAAATGGTTTTTAGTCAGAATAATGTGACTGTAGCGATTTAAAATAGTCACTACTAAAAGTGTACACTATGCTCTAGTGTTTTGGATGTTATTATTAATTAAAACTACTCTGTTTCTTTTCAGAACATTTGAATGAACTAAGTTTAAAAAACCACATTACCATTGCACAATTGAGTCAAGGTCAAAAAGTATCCAGACCAGTTAAAATAAAATACATTGCCAATTCAGAACGCATAAAAATTGCAACTGCACAATTAAATCTAGGAACAATTAATGTGTCTGATTTTTTAATTCAATGTTCCTATACCGCAGAGACTTATATTCGAGAAGAATTAAACTGGTACACTCTTGTCGAACCTAACCTTATAGTTGATAATGGTAGGTAATAATTTATTTTTACATTATTTAAGAAAACATGTATTCATACATTTTAATTACAATTAAACTCATTAGATGATCTCACACAATCGGATGGAGATGATAGTGTATCGGTCGCTGAAGATATTCCTCACCCCGTTGTAAATTTTGGTAACTAATGTTTAAATTTTAAATATATCTGAATCAAATTAATATTCTTAAGTACACATTAATTAAAAATTAAAATCAAACTTATTAGCTGATCTCACAGAATCGGATGGAGATCAGGGGCGGACTGGCCAGGTGTGCTAGTGTGCCGCAGCACACCGGGCCGGCTTATATGTGTGGGCCGCTGGGGCATTTGAACATTTGACGATATTATTAATAAATTTATTTTTAAATACGAAACAGTTTAAAAACCACTGCTATTGTTTGGTACAATTCTACAATCAGTTCATAGTCGAACCATAAGTATTATAATAATAATAGTATGACTGTATGAGCACATATGGTATGTTGTATATTGTAATTACTAATTTGTATTATAATTCCTTAACCAACAATTTTAAAAATCAGTTTTATCCATGTTATAAAAACAAGGTATGATCGTAACTTTTTGACGGTCAGATCATTCGGTAAGCACGTGACGTAAAGTAGTGTTTAGTAATAATAATTTAATGCCAATATGAGTAAGCAAGTGACGTATTGCGCGACTTGGACCAAATCTGGACTTTTGCAATCATACCACGTTATTTATATCATGGTTTTATCAGTTATAGTCTAGAATTTCACAATTTTTGTCATACGTTAGACTCATCATATTTTATTTTTTTTTTATTAGGTCTTCCTGTCGCAGCCTGTATATAGATTATAAATAAACAATAGCCAATAAGTTATACTATATATTTTATAAGAATGATAAATGTAAAAATGTATAATCCTTTTGATATTTTTGATGTTTGTTTACTATTGTTTTTATCATTTATTTCATAGTCACAATTCATACTGGGATTAAACCAAAATCATCTTAATCAGTTTCAGAATTATTATAGTTTTTAGAATTATTATAGTCATTACTTTTAATATAAACTTCAAGCTTTAATAAATATTTGCAAATGGTTCAATGATTGTAGTTTAGCAATAACTTTCTGGCGGTCGATGTACCAACCAAATCGTATAAAGTGTTTAAACATTTTTCTAGATTGGCTATTTTGAATTTTTCCAATTTTCATTAGAAAAAATATTTTTTTATATTATACATCTATTTCATCAAGTGACTATAAATTATTTATAAAAAAAAATGTATATATTGATTAGAACAAAAGTTCTTTTATCCGTCAGGTCTTCCTGTTACACTCTGTATTTTAAAACATTTAATGTATTCTGAAATAAATCATATTTATTTTAGGATGTATTATGTAATAAAACTCTGAAAAATACAATATCCATCACAATTAAGATTATTGTTTAATATATTATGTCAATAAATTGCTCATTTCTTTGAAATATGAAAATATTAATATTTTTTCTTGTGCATGAATACATTTTAGCTCTGTCGTGCATTCAAATAAAGTGTGAGAGGTTATTTAGTAAACTAAAAATAATTAAAAACATACTGAGGTTTCTTTAAGATTTAATACACCAACACCACTTTACACTACAAAGAGGAGGTATCCTGGGGTCTTCTACCTCTGGACTACAAGACAAATTAATAGGTGTATTATATATTTGATACGCTATCCGAAAAATAAGGTATTCATAAACTATAAAGAAGCTGTTATAAAGGATTTTGGGCCGCTTAGTTTTATAGAATACTGGGCCGTTTACCTCCCAGTCCGCCCCTGATGGAGATGATAATGTATCAGTCGCTGAAGATATTGTTCACCCCGTTGTAAATTTTGGTAACTAATGTTTAAATTTTAAATATATCTGAATCAAATTAATATTTTTAAGTACACATTAATTAAAAATTTAAATTTAACTTATTAGCTGATCCCACACAATATGATGGAGATGATAGTCTATCAGGCACTGAAGACAATAATCAAGTAGCTGAGGATTCTGATGGTAGTGGAAATTTATTTATTACCAGACATGTGCAAGCTGTGATAAGTAATTCACCTGCACAGGCTAATTATAAGACATTTTCATATGATTAATTTCAGCGATTCTCAAACTATGGTACGCAGAAAGCTACATGGTGGTATGTGGGAGTGTGCGGCAGCAATAAGTTAATACTTGTGACGGATTTAGTGTTCATTTATGTTTTGTTTAGATAGGTACTTAATATACTATTAAATGTACCTAAATTGTTATTGTTAAAAATGTATTGAACATTTTGAATAGTTCTGTTTTTAATAATTAGTGGTACATGGTCGATACATAATGCACATGAATGGTATGCAAAAAAAAATTTGAGAATCGCTGATTTAGTTAGTTTTGCTATTTTTTATTATAAATAAAATTATATATAATATGATACATTTTGTTTGATAATATATTAATATGGTTATTTTTATTAGGGAATGAAGATGATTTTATACTTGAGGAAGAATTAGATCCGGATATGGTCAACATGATGGAAATAGATAATCGGAGACGAGAATTAGAGATACAAAATATTCCTTTTGTGCAAGTACCTATAAATCTTCCTTTGCCACCAAACAGCAATATATGTGTAGTGTGCAAAGATTTAGAAAGAACACATGCCTTGATCCCATGTGGCCATAAAGCATTATGTGGTAATTGTGCCGAATTGTTGCAACCAAAGCGTTGTCCATTGTGCAAAGCGAATTTCAGTTCAACTCTACGTATTTGGTCATAATGTTCACTGTTTTTAATTTTTCTAATAACTTCTACTATAATTTGATTTTTATATTAAATAAACATTTAAATTTTATTTTGTACCATTATTTTCCTTTTCTTTTTTTTTTTTGTATAGAACAAAAATGTAAATATAGTTAATTTTTTAAGTATAGTATAGCTGTAATTGTTGAAAGCAGGGTTCACATGTTACACTATTAATTTCATAACTAACGCGATATATAGTACACTATATATACTTACAAGTGTACTAAACAGTCGTTAAGTCGTACACCATGTGAGTGTGTTAAACTCCTTTAAAACTATTTTTTTTATAATATAATTGTAAATAATATAATATACACTTTTGTTAGTTGGTGTTGTAATGTATTATGATTAATGAATATGTCTGTATAATAAATACAACTAAGTTAAACACAACTTAGACCTTTTATTAAAATAATGTTTATTGAACGAGAGCACTACATAACGGTAGATACACTACAAGTCAGAGAACGGTCTACTATAGATAATGCTTACCGCTTAGTAATTACCCACTAATTATTATACTGATGGTTAAAATAGTTGAAAATGCCATAAACACATCTGATAATGAATTATAACTTTACAGTGTCTTATTTTCGCATATTATAAGTTAAATCTATAAAAGTAAGGTAGGTAGGTAGGTACCTACATTTAATATTTAAATATATTTTGAATATAGTCCTTAAGCTTGTCTTAAAACAAAACAACTCAATTATTAATACCTAAATACCTATTTAATGTATGTGGTGTTCGGTGGCGCAACTAGGGCTGAAATGATGGGGGGCTGTAGCCCCCATCTGACGTTACATGTACTAACCCGTGAGGGCAATGCCCCCACACCCCTATATTTGTTCACTTAAAAATATAAAAAAATCATACAAACAAAATCAATTATTTATTTACTCAAGTATTGAATTATACTTTATTTTTTAATATTTATAATATAATTTTCAAACATTAACAATAATATTTTTTGCTTAATAATAATACCTTTATATTATATTATATTATAATATATCCCCGAAATAAAATATTACGTTTCCTAATAATATTTTAACGATATGTAAATAATAATTATTATTAGAAGTAGATTTTAAAAGTTTTACTTTATATAGGTAGATATTCAATATTTAAAAGATTATAAAATAAAAATATTTCGAATAATCGATACATCAAATAAAATAATTAACTACCTATTAAACAAATTGTTAATGAATGTAGGTACCTAATCAGTAATCTTTTAAAAGAACTATTAGCATATGTTGTTACACATCGTGATATAAAACATATATATTTAAGTATAATAATTATTTGTAATTAAATATTAATAATGTAATGGCTGCATGCTAGTTGCGTCCCAAAGATAACTACGAAAAAGGGTAATCCGAATTGCGGCCCGAGTTTTTTTAACTCAAGATAGGTAATTATTTTCATCTTGACTGATAAAATATTATCACATTATCCATATTTTTTTTCAATATAAATTTAAAAAATAATGTTGATTGATATAGCTGTACTAAAAAGATTTATACAGCATATAATTAACTTAAATACTCGCAGAACAAATATAATTGAAAAAGTAACATTTATTAGAAATGCTATGAAACGGTTAAAAGAAAACCAAATTAACAAACTTGAATTTATACAAATACTATCATACCTACGAAGTTTACTCAATTATACTAACATTTTTAACTAAAATATCATATACGTTTTTACCAGTGCAAAATTTTTAAATAAAAACAAAACATAATTTTTAACCTACTTGCAATATCTACTGGTGCTACAGACAGTCTGTATACAAATGTGAAGGAAAATAAAGGTATTTTTAATTTTAATTTCCATGTTTCAATTAATTTAATTTTAAATTTCGGGCCGAAATTCGTATGCACCCTAAAAGAACTCGGGCCCCAATTCGGAAGAAATTTTTACCGCGGGACGCAACTATAGTAGCCACCAAATGTAATAATTACACCAATTATGTTTTAAAAATGCCATGTGATTGTCAGTAGTCAGTAATATTGTAGTCTGGCCCTGGGTGTTATTTTTCGTAGGGTCGGTTTTTTTTAGGGGAATTTTATTCCGCTATTACCTATCTATACATTTTTATATTGGACAAACTACCAACGATTTTTAAAAAAATCTTGGCTTAAATTTTCAGTCCTTAGATATACATTTTTTTTGAATTTTTAAGTACAACACAATTTGCACATTTTCGGGATTTTGATATAATTTATTTTGTCAAAATTTTAACGTTAAATGCTTATAAAAAAATTCGTGGCTATGCATTTCTTAAATTTTTAAATTATAAATAGAATAAATTATGAAGAACCTTTTATTAAATTTTTCAGTTTTTTCATCCAAACAAAATATTTTCATCGTATTTATATAGTGTGTAAAATAATTTTAACATTCTGTGAAAATTGCAGGTATCTACATAATTAAACAATCCTAATTCATTTTTAGCCCATATCATTTTAGATTCTGAGCGGAGCGATGAATGTATTGGTTTTACAATGATGTGTGTTTTTTTTTTTTATATTTTTATATTTTTTATTTTTGTGTCTGTCATCACGTTTTAGGACAGTAAAAGTGCTAGGATTTTCTTCATCAGTAGCTTTTCTTATAGGAAAGTGAATCTAGTTGGTACTTTGGGGGGTCAAAAGTATAAATTTCTTTAAAATTTTTATAAGCATTTAAAGTTCAAAAATTGACAAAATATGGAAAAATCACGAAAATTAGCAAATTTATTGAGATTTGAAAATGTAATACAAGATTACTCATAAGTTTGTCTACCTTTATCAATAAAAAAATCTCTACCGGACAGTCAAATTAAATTTTTATGAGCGTTTGAAATTCAAATTCTTACAATATTGGATATTCACTCGATTTCTCATGTAGCGATTTCTTTATTTTGTTGCAATTCAAAAACAAACAACTGTAGGTACATGAAAATTTCACCGAATGTTTAAATTAGCATTTTCTATACACCATACAATTTTGAAAATATTTTGACTCTTTTTGAGCTGTTTACGGACATTTTCAGTTTTCAATTTTTTTAGTTTTTTATTTTATAATTGTCAATAAAATTTTATTTGGTGGGCCAAAAAGTCTGAAAATTTAATACAAGCTTTCTTATATATTGTTACAATATCAGTTGAAAAATTTTAAAAATACATAGGCACGATTTTTTTTTATAAGCATTTAAAGTTGGAATTTTGACAAAATTTATCAAAATCTCGAAAATAATCAATCGTTGGAATTAAAAAATTATAAAATGTTCAGTTTTTATAACTAAGAGTTGAAAATTTAAAACAAAGATTCTCTTAAATAATTCATACTGTAACCAAAAAATCTAAAAAATATATAAACACACTTATTTTTTACAGACATTTTAATTTCAAGTTTAGACAAAATTTCATATTTAAACCAAGAATTACGATTTTAGTTATTTTGTTGTGATTGAATAATATTATTCGTGGATACTTGAAACTTCTAAAGTGTACTATTATATATCTATGATAGTATCACGGTTTTTGTTGATGTATAACGCGTTATAAGTATCTAATGGATATTGTGATATGATTAATTTGGAATTTATTATAGGTACCTACCTATTATAGGTCAATTTTTTTATACTATAGACAAGTATATAATATGTCTTATACAGTTATACCTAGACTGACGTACCGTCACCGCTCAGAATCGTTTTTCTTATACAATGATATTATATCATTGAATTCAAATTTAATACCATCCATTATACAGTGACCCACTTGTAACCTACTGTACAGCAGAGCGACACCCACTTGCCCACCTTTTTTTCTTTTGATTTTTATGTATTTCTGAATTTGATAGTTCTCGGCACTATTTTTTCTAAAAATAAAATCCCGATTTTGACGGTTCCTGAAAAATATTTTTCCCAAAATTGAATTTCCTGCATAAGAAGTGTCCTATGAAATACTGTTTCAGATTTTTTTCGTTCGTCTAATATACACTGCATGTAATTAAACAATTCTAATTAATTTTATCCCTGATTTTGATGTTTCCTGATTTGGATGCATTCCCGAATTTAATTGTTCCTGAAATTATTTTTTCTAAAAATAAAATTCCCGATTTGGACGGTTCCTGAAAATTATTTATCCCAAAATTGATCTTCCTGCGTATGCATTTTCCTAAGAAATACTGTTTCATGTTTTTATGGTTCCTATAATAAATCGTTCATGTTGTTAAACAATCCTAATCAATTTTTTCCTGATTTTGATGTTTCATGATTTGGATGCATTCCCGAATTTAATTGTTCCAGAAATTATTTTTTCTAAAAATAAAATTCCCGATTTTGATGGTTCCTGAAAATTATTTATCCCGAAATTGATTTTCCTGCATATAAATTTTCCTATGAAATAATGTTTCATTTTTTTTTGGTTCCTATAATATATCGTTCATGTCGTTAAACAATCCTAATCAATTTTTGTCCTGATCATTTTTTTTCCTGATTTTGACGCGCTTCCGTTTGTAACGTAACCGTATTTGTTATAGTCCTTGGAGGTATTAGTTTACCTCCACGGCTCAATCGTCGCTCAGAGACATTCTACATACGTCGTTATCTACGATGCATTTATTACATTTTAATCGTCCCAGAGATAACCTTCAATCTTATCGTCATTAAGAAATTAAAGCCTTAAGGTTGATTTTCTGCGAGTGATTTCAGACAGAATTTTTTTTTGCTAACGCCCTGAAGAGCGTCGACATTTTTTTTTCGAGTTTAATTACATTAAAACTTACACCATGTTTGGTTCAAAAGCTGTACAAGCGTTAAGGCAGTTCTCAACTACTACGGTCAGAAGAGGACACGCGTATGAAGGTCCCGGGCATGTAAGTTGAAAAAAAAACGTGACTTCTATAAACTTTTTTGGGGTTATCTTGACGGTCGTGGGGTTTTTAAAACTTAAGTACCTACTTCCAATCTCATATTAAATGTTCCTGTTTGTTCTGTAACGGAATATCAAATGTTCCTTTTGAAACCCGTTCAATGTAGAAATGGAATACCTACTCCTGCTTTTAATGTAACAATTTTAGTTAAATATTCGGTAGTCATGGTACCTGGTAGTGTATTAAAATGGCTTTAACTCTTGAAACATATTGATTCCCGAATACATGGCTTCTATAGTAATATATGGTATCAAACTCTAATGAGTTATGAGGACGTAGGTATAAAAGGTTTTATCTGAACTTCATTGATTTAATGTGGGCTAACTACCTAATTATTCTTGTGTTGTTTCTAATAATTTGATTTACTGATCATGTTTTACTAGTGTTGGGCATTTGACAAATATAATCGTTAGTGTGTATTTTTTTTTTACATGTTTTTGATATTAATATTTTATCAATGTTATCAATAATTTACAAAATATAGTATTGATTCATTTATACCTAAGCTTAAGAAAATAAATAATATATTAATTAAAAAGTATTTATTTTACTTTAAATTGTACCTATAAGTTATTTTAACATAAATATGTTTTTGGGCACACGTTTTTTTGTTTCTGATCAATGTTTTGTAAGGTTTTCATTGTCATGGTTAGGTACGTAATATACATTTATACCTAATTTAAAGATTTTCCTTGTAGAGGAATAATATTGAGTAGCTTGCCATAGTTTTATTTTAATATCTAGATACAATATTGAAAAATATATACCATTAAATAAGTAGTAAATTATAGTATAAGTATAACAATTAACTAAATTTATTTTTCTATAAAATAAAACATCAATGACATGCAGGGTTCAAAAGAGCTGTTTTAATCTGACTTTTAAAGGACATTAGTTATATATTATAAAATATAAAAGACGTACTATATGGAAAGTTATGATTTTATCATATAAATATCTAATAAGGATTTTGTTAATAATTTAATTTTTTTGTTAAGTTTATCATTTACAAGATTCTTAAGGATGACATTTGTGTGTGTCAATACATATTGGTCCATAATCAATTGTTTAAGAAGTTACATAATATACCTATGATAATATACCAGCAATATGTTTAAGATTCAGACCTTGAAATGAGTTGGTACATAACTACTATGTGTAGAAATGTATACAAATATAAACAATTTTTTGAAATTATTGATAGCATGTTGTAATAAATGTTAGGTATAATAATATCATAAATTAAAATAAATTGCTTGTTAATTGTAATTATTCTTCGCAGGTATGTTTGGTTTGATATACTCATATTTAATGAAAATAAAAATGTTTAATCTATTATTTTAATAATAATTAAAAGTAACTTATAAGTGTTATTCAAATATTTAACAACAAAAAAATGTTGTGAAGATCCGACATATACTATTATACTTACACCAATATTCTTAAATCATGGATAATTATTTGTTATTGTGTGATAGTTATAATTATATTAAATAGTTATAATAAGGTAATATTAATTTAATAGTTATATGACATGAGCTCCAAAACAATTTAAATAATCCAATTTAAAACCACAGAAGAGTCCAAAACAAAAATAGAAAATATTAACAATAGGTATTCTCAGAATCCTGATTTTTCTATGTTGAAATATGCCATTTCAATGGAAGAATATAATATTATAATTCAAAACAAACTATTTTGATATTCTCTCATAAGTTAATGCAAAATGATCAAACAAAATAACACACATGACAATTACCTAGGTCAATGAACATTTTGATATTAAACACTGTGATTCAACTTAACAATTGAAAAAAATTAAGAAAGACTAAAGGAACTAAGAATTGATTAAGAAAGTCTAATATGTTTTACCATTTAAAACAAATCTGTAATGATTGCCTTTATTTTGTAAATGTTGTATCAAAGTTAAAGATAGAGAACCAAATTACCAAATAATCACCATTAAAATATGAGAATTTTTACTGTGCAATAAAGTTTTTATTTTTTTTTATAAGATGTTATCCAAATTTGAAATATATAAAAATGATCAACTTTTTTGGTATTAGTGATTAATAAAATTAAATCTATTACACCGAAATTCTTTTTCTTTTTGTTTTATAAAATTGGGTTTTAAACTTAAATAAAAATTACTATAGACCTTATGTGGTTATTGTGTAAGTAAATAGTATTAAGAGGATTTCGTACCCACATCTGTTGTCTCTGTCTTATTAATGCATAATATATGTATATCAATATGTATATCCAGCAGTTTTAATTTTGTATTATTAGCTTAAATATATTTATTTTTTTTTTTGTGTTTTAATCACGGCGCTACAGGGGGGCACTTCACCCTATTCGGGCCGTCCTTCCCCCTGTATCCGTATCATTTATTTTTACAAATAACACAAAAACATTCAAAGGTCTTAAAATGTTTTAAGAGCTTCGTTCTACAAAAAAGAGAGGGCTATTGTTAGCTTAAATATTAGTGAATATTATACCTAATATGAAACTTAAATGTAAGAACATTATCTGTATGTCTCGTCGGTTTTTATAGTATTTTAATTTTGAAGTGAATTATGAGATGATCAGATAGTGTTCTTACATTTAGTTTGATTATAGGTCAATTCACTCTAATATTTAAGCTAACAATACAAAATTGAAACTGCTAGATATACATTTTGATATATTATGCATTAGTGAGGTAGAGACAACATAGCAGGTATGACGTCCTCTTAAACAAATAATTTATGTACGTGTCCTCTTAAAGTAATAAGTATTTGTTATTATATTATTTAAATTTTAAACCTGAGTTGGAAAATAAGCCAATGTTTTATAACTCTTATGACATTTTTGCTGAGACATGACAATTATATTTTATACTATTACACAATATACATTTTTCCTTTAAATTTAAATCTATTTACTTGCTGTATATATATATATCATGTGTATATTTGTAAACTGAATATCATTGCATATAAGATAATTTTTGTGTTTCAGAATTTGCCATTTGATGTGTTCAGCAAGTACAAGTTTACTTTTTACACAGCAGTTTTCTTTAGCACCGGTTTTGGTCTTCCATTCTTAATGGTCAGATACGTTAGGAAGAGGAGTGGATAAAATATTGTCATCAATTTTTTATGGTAATGAAATATTAATCTGTTATATTCTTTAATAACGTTATTTTTAATGGTTCATTTTTTTGTTTTTTAGTTTACTTAAAACGCAATCATTCCACAACACATTCAATTACTTATGATTATTATAAAAAAAAAATTTTAAACTTAGTACAATGGTTGATTAATATTTTTCTGTAAAATGCAATAAATAAATTTCAAAATTATATATATTGTTTATTGTTTCAATATTGTATTATAATTTAATAAAACCATGATTAAAAGTCATGAAGACTAAGTACTTAATTATGCAAAAGTTCTGTTTTCAATTTTTTTTGAAGTAAAACTTCTTTCTTGAATTGGGTGGAAATAAAATCGTAACAAAAAATGAAACGACACAACTGTTTATTTAGTTTGCAAGTCATGCACAGCGGCGGCGACGTGCCCGTTTTATTTTCATTGTATTGATTTTTCTCACTCTCTCCCTAATTCCCTTATAATTTCACGAGCTCCAATACTTATTAAAGAAGTTTTACTTCCCCAGAGTGTAATGGTGGGCTCATACAATCTTTTTTTTGTCAGGCACAAGTGCACAACTAAAATCATTTAAATACAACTATGTCTATTGACATTTTAAATAGGCTACTTACACTATATCCCAGTAAATTGCATTCTACCAATTATAATGTAATTTATCATAGTTGTAAACTCGCCTAAAAATGTTTTGATACTAAATTGTAAATTACATACATAATTTCATACATACATAAACCTAAATTTATGATGCTGTAGAACCATTTAGCATTACTCAAGTACTATAATACAAATAGTAAGGTTACAAAATATATTGGGGAAGTTAACATGTGTGTAATTTAATAGTATTTTAGAATAATTTACCATTTTACCTTTTAAGTTCCTCCACAAACAAAAATATGCCTATAATTAATAAGTTACCCTATATTTTAGGAAAATTTACATGTGCTTATCTACTATTGAATTTTAAGTTCTATCTTTTTAGATTTAAAAATATTCCATTAATCGAGGGTTCTTGCACGTACATGTAGATACCACAAATTTTTCCAAACTGAATTTATGTCAACTCAAATAACTTATATGTTAACCTTATTAATCATGCTGTTTTATTTTTTCTTACTGGCACTAAAGGCTGATCATTAACAAGTTAATAAGTTAGAAGTTAAGTTAATTTTAACTTATTAACTTAACTTTAACTTAACTTATTTGCCTCTATATTAACTTAAAATCAATTCAAATTTTTCTTTATTTTCCAAATTAAGTTAATTTTGAATATTCCTATTTTCAAAAAAATATTTTGTTTATTACGGGTTTTTGGTTCATAACAATTATCAATATTTTGCAGAATATAGAAAATATTATCAGAAAAAAAATAAGATATATTTACAGACAACTTTGTATTTATGTTTAAAGACAAAAACTAATATATTGTATTAATAGGTTACTTATAAGTTATAAATATTAATATTTGAGTAAGATTAGTCGCCCTAAATGAAGACATCAGTAGCCCATGATGCCACAAATTATATTCATAAATCATAATACCTATTCATTACTCATCAGTTATTAATTATTTTTTATTAGTACAGTAATGATTATCATAGATTGTTTGAATAGTAATTTACCTATGAATGATGATTACTATTCAAGTGATTATCACTTATTAAATTAAATAATACTTCATAATACATTTTTTTTTTATTATTAACTTAGCTTATTAATTGGAGTTAAGTTAAATTAATAGTATTTGTCAACTTAATTTTGAACTTAATTTATGTATTAAAAATGTTTATTAACTAAACTTTTAATTTAATTGAAAAAATAATAATTAACTTAACTGAGTTAAAAAATATCATTAACTTGCCCAGCCTTGCCAGCACTGATTTAATTATTTATAGATGCAATAAAACCTAAGTGACCTATTATTTTCTCTAACCAGTCAAGTTGAAAAACATCCTTTGTTATTAATCACTATGGCTAGAGGAATTTCAATTGTACAATTTGTCAAGTGTTTTTACTGTTCTATTTTTGTAAGACAAATGAGACAATAATATTAAAAAAACATGTTAAATTTATTGATATATTGGGGACACTTCAATGGATACATATACATAATATAAAAACAATAAGTATTGATTGGTAATATACATGACTACTGACTAGTGTGCTACTTTCGATCAGTAGAAACAAAAAAAAATTACGCGATAATTTTTACGATTGATAATATTAACACTGAATAAAACAGAAACATATTTTTAAAATTCTGATTTGCATTGTTTAGAGCTAATGGACCTAATTCCCCGATATCCATACACTGTCCTTTTTTCATTTGTCTCTCATTACCAAAACTATCTTTTGGTATTATACACAAATTTGTTGAATCCTAAAACAGTCAAAATTATTTAAATATAATATGTTAAAATTTACCTTATTGCTAACCATTATGTTAGAAATTGTTCTTTACTTTAATGAAAGCTGCTTTAATAGTTTGAGATCGTAAATTATAAGGAACTAATCTAGAAGAACTCCTTTCTTCTAATTTATTACCACCAGTGAATATTACAAAATCAGCAATGTCTTCTTTGTTTTGAAGCACAAACCAGTCAATTTTTATGTAACTACTTCCAGTCCTGAAAACACGTTTAAATAAATATAATCAATATGATAAATTATTAGATATAAATACTACTTCTTTATAGACCTTATACTAGTAGACAGAGTAGTTCTGTTGGTCAGACGTGACTGCACTGTTCGAGTGTTACCGAATTACATGGCACATTCACACTAGATGATACAATAAACTGTGTATAACTATATATAATATATATATATATCATCATAATGCAAATTGCCAAGTACTGCACTAATCAACCTCGCCGTCCTTATATTTTCCGTCTACTAGTATAAGGTCTATGGATTTGCCATAATATAACTCATTTGCACCAAAAATTGATATTGGCCCTTTTTGACCCAAGCATTTAAAATCTATAGTATAATTTTAATCCTAAAAGACAACGTTTATTTTTGATTTTTTAAATTTATAAATGTCCAATATCTACAAACAATAACAAATTATTTGATTTGTAATTAATAAAGGTAATATCATACAATATATATGCATGCCATATGATAACATTAGTATTAAATATTTCAAAATTAAGGGTGTTTTATTAATAAAGCATTTTTATATTTGTTAATTAATATAAATAACACTATAATTTAATCTGTTAGTAAAAATATTATTTATTGGGTGTACCATAAATTTATAAATTATATTATATTTTATAGTAAATAGTACTACATTTCTGCTAAATTGTTTACATTTTTCTATTTTTAAATTTTAAATGAGGTTCAAACTATAGTTTCAAATTATTTTATCCATAAATATAACTTAAAAATCAGTTTCGAGAAAATATTAATGCTTTATGGAAACAATCCAACCCAAGTATAATAGTATTAAGTTTGGTTATGACTTATAAGCACTTTTATTATTTATTGATAAAAATACTAAAAACTTCTCTAAAATATATAATAAATATTTAAAAATTCCATGGCTAATAATTTACCTTTTTATCTGCCTAAACTTTACATCTGGTGTTACGACAAATGTATCATCTTCGTCTTTTATAGGAATATCACAAATCAATTCACTCTCGCCTAAATCTGCCACATAAGACACTTCTGATGTTAATAATTGCACACATGTTATATTTTCCCATTGTGGATCTGGATTAAGTTTGGAGTTCAGCATTCTTTTGATGGGAATCAATGTACAATCGCATTCAATGGGATTGCCTAATGATTCATATAATTTATTGATTATTTAATAATAATATAATATAATAGGTACATGATAACTGGTAAGATAAATTAATTGATATTAGGTACCACTGGGTATATTACCTTTAAATGAAATTGAAGATCCTTTATTTACAATTTTAGCCAATTCAGGCGGAAAATTATTAAATAAGTTATTCTCTACATTAAAGTTTTTTAATTTTGGGACAAAGTTTATGATTTCTTTTGAAAGTTTTGTTAATTTATTGTTGGACATCAACAATACAGACATATTTTTAGGCATATTGCCAACTTTTTTCATTGTTTCCAAATTATTGAATGATAAATCCAATACGTTTAACGATGTTAAGTTTCCGAGTACACCTAAAATGTAAATACAGTATGTTAATAATTAATATATGGGTAGATAGGTACCTATTGAGTTATATGAATTATATATTATATTACGAGTGAAAAATGTTGATTTTATTGTTGAAAAGATTATATTATTTTATAAAATGTATATGTTACCTGGCCGAATCTCATCGATAGAGTTATGACTTAAGTTAAGATATTTAACTTTGTGCGTTCCAACCGTAATATCATGTGTTATTATTGGTATTTCGTTATAGCTCATATCAATTGATTCTAAGTAACTGGGAGTGTACATATGGTTTGGAAATGATTTTTTGGTGAAAAATGAAAATTGATTATGACTTAAATTCAACTGTAAATATATTCAATTATCAAGTATTACTGTTGTTGGTGAGGTGTTGAAAATAAAACTATATTAATTACTTACATATTTAAGAGAAAGACAGTCATCCAATAAACTATTCGTTTTGTTGTCCAAAGAATTGAGTTGATTATATGACACATCCAAAGTTGTCAATGACACCAAACCTACATTTTATAACATCAAATAACTATAGATAAACATTAGTATACAGTGTACTAAGTCTTATTTAACCAAAATATTAGAGGCCCACCAGATATGCGCCAGTGCCTTGGTGGCCTAGTCTAACCCTGAGTATATTAAATGAAGGGATATGCTACTTAATTGGAAAACTATTCATTAAAGGTTTAGGTAGGTACCTATATAATTTCCAAAATTGATGTAGGTATAGGGGGTCAACTAGTCAATTATCTGCAAGCATTATTTTTAGGTTAAAATTTATGAATTATTTAGGTTTAAATTATAATATGCTGTTTAGAGGGCACCTCATATCCTCACCCGCATATTGTCACCATCTAACAAGTGAGTAACATAGCAAATTTTACACTCAGCAGAACACGTGTAGCCCCGTTAGTTTAAAAATTAGAGTGAATTGACCTCTTATAAAATTTAAAGGTAAGGTTTGGGGAGCAGATGGTCAAACTGATATTAGTATTATTATTATGTATGTTGCTTATGTTGTCAAAATGATTACCTATGTATGTTGTCAAACTGTTAACTTTGTTATAGGTTAGGGAAAAGAATTATATACCAAATTGTTAATCCTTATGCACTTATGCAGTTATGCACTTATGTAACATGTTCAACTGTTTTTGTTCTATAGTAATGAGAATTTCTCGTTTACTAATAAATTATAAGATATAAGTATAAAAGAATTTTTTAGAGTTTTTGGTGATTTTAAAAACTTAAACTTCTACAGATTATTATCTAGGCAATCTCATGAATAATAATAATTGAATATTTTCATATACCTATAAATAGCAACATGAGCCAAACATTTTTTGAAAATTCAATGGTGTATAGAAAATGCTAATATAAACATTCAGTGAAAATTTCATTTATCTGTTTTTTTTTTTTTTTAGTTACACCAAGATCCAAAATCGATTTTGTCGAAAACTTTTCCGTAAAAATGCTCGTTTTCCTTAATTTTTATTTTGTTTTTCCCGGCGCTTTTGGAAACTACTAGGAAAGTTAAAATTTTTACCACCCGAATGCACCAATTTTATAGTAGGTTTACTTTCCCTTCAGGAAAGATACTGAAATTGAAAATTGATAAATTATATTGACAAGGTACTTAACGTGTACAAATACTCAAAAATTAAAATTAAAAAAAAACATCATTTTAAAATCAGAATGTTGAAGGAATATGAGAACTTTCACGTAAAACCAGTTTTTGACAAAATCGATTTACCTAACTTAAAAGCAAATATCCCGCGTAGATAGGTAACTTGAAATGTTCACGCCTATCTACTTTCCACCTCACCCTTTTAAATAAAATTAAATATCTAAAAATTATAATTGATTATTTAGTTTTCCAATTAAATAACAAATTATTTTATAAATAATATACTCACCTTTAAATGCACCATTGGGTATTTCAGTTAAACTGTTTTCAGTCAGATTCAATAATTGCAATTGTAATAGCCCTTCAAAAGCTTGAGATTCTACTTGAGTGATATTATTTTGTGACAGATCCAGATAAAACACTACGGGCAATATTCCAAAAGCCTTAGAACTGAGATGTGTGATACTGTTACCCTAAAAAAGGTTACCATGTAAAATACATATGTGATATGTGTTAATACATTTTAATAGGTACTTAATCAAAATAGAGAGTTTAATATAATATTACTCTTAATGACAGATGTCTTGTTGAAACTAGTGGGCTCACTGCTTGAGCAGGTGGTATTGTGATGGAATTATAATCCAAAATTAGGCTTTGCAAAGACAATAGTTTCGAAAACGATCCACTGTCCAAACTATCGCCTAACAAGTTGTTACTCAAATCCAGCGAGAGGAGTGCATTCATCGATGGCCAAGCTCGGTCGGGTCCAATATCTTTGATCTTATTATGGCTTACCGCCAGACTTGACAATGATATTGGTATGGTCGGTATTTGCGTGATATTGTTATACCTCAAATCCAAGTGGCTCAACGATGACATTTTAACAAACGTCGCAGCATTAATTTTTTTTATGGAATTCTTATTCAAATACAGTTCGAGTACAGTTGGTAGAGTGCCAAATGTCGTAGACTTCAAGTCTTCCAACGCATTGTGGCTGAGGTTGACGGACCGCAAACTGAGAAGAGACTGGAACACGGAGGGACTTATAGATTTTATACGGTTGTGGCTGAAGTCCAATGTATGTAGCTCGTAGAGCTTTGGAAATGTTCCTTTTGGTATCGACTTAATGTTGTTGTGTGTCACGTTCAAGATTTTGATGCCCGCCATGTTGGTAACTGGTACCTGTAATAGTTGTATATTATTATTTATTATATATTCAGAATGTATTACCTACTTTTTACTCATCACTAACGATTTGTAAGGGAAATGGAAATGTTTCTTAGGTTTACTGGGTATTCGAAAACTCGAATATTACATTAAAAGTTAGATACACATGTAATAAATAACCTATTAGGTATAATTGTGTATTTGTGTATAAATAATTTATTTATTATAATGCACTTATCGTTGGCATATTAAACCTTAAAATAAAACAATTTATTCAACATTACCTGGGACATATCCGTCAAGTTGTTGTAAGACAATTGCCATACTGTAGCATATGTATTATTATCAAACGCTGTGCTGGGTATATTTGCTATTGAATTGTACGACATGTCTAACATCGTAATGTTGGCACAATTTTCGAAAGCTCCGCTATCGATTTCCGATATATTGTTTTTCGACAAATTTATGTGAACCAAATAAAGATTTTTGAACGACAGTTTTTCAACTTTTGTTATTTGGTTTTCAGATACATCGATGATCTAGAACATTACAGTATTGTCCATATTTACTCGAAATACATTTTGTTTTATATACAAATTAAAATATATACACTCCAGATGAACTAATATAGGTACATTTCATCAACATACTTCAACATAATTTTGTCCAGAAAACATTTGATAGTCGATAATTTTCATACGATTTCTAGCCAAATCGATGGTACCTATTCTTGTCATCGACGCAAATGTTCCTCGATCGACTTGAGAAATTTCATTGTCACTAAGATATAATCTTCGAAGAAAACGCATACCACGAAATAACTCAGAGTCTAATCTTGTCAGTTTGTTGCGACTCAAGTTTAAAGTCCGTAGTAATGTATTTCTTGCAAATGCTCCTCTTTAAAAATAAACAAAAAGGAATACTTAAGTAGAGTTAAAATTGTTTATTGTATGTATTATTGCTAAAATGAATTATAGTAAAACCTTGTTACAGATGGTAATGAATTATTAGCCAAGTTAATTGACACAAGCTTCGTTAAGTCACCAAAATGGGAAGAGTCGATTTTAGTAATATTATTGCTAGATATATCCAATGTTTCTAAGTCTCTCAACCCTTTGAACTGATTCTTTTGTAGCGTTCCCAATTCATTGCCTTGAAGATCGAGGTATTTTAACTTTTTACAGGGACTTAATGAGTCGGGAGACAGAGACGTTAATTTTCCATTTGTTATGTATAATTTTTCCAAACGGGTCGGCAATTGACTAGAAGTAAACGCGTTGGTTGGTATATTAAATATTGAATGCTTGTCCAGGTTCAGTACTTTTAAATTGCTCAATATCTGTAATACAAATTTAATAAAATTGAATACGTTTATTGTTGGAAAATATAACTATAGTGAGTAGAATAAATATAAATATTTTGCTTACTTTCAATGAACCAGAAGGAAATTCAGCCAATTTAGAGTTCACAATGTGTAATTCGGAAAGTGTGTGATTAATTCCAAAAAATAAATCGTCGTCCAGTAATATTAATGGCGTATCTTGTATGATCAGCCTGTTTACAGGAGTCGAGTAAAATATGTCTCCAAATAAACGACCTTTACAAAGATATTACGTGAATATACACACTATATGCTCTCTCCAGTGAGAGAATACACGCCACGACCAAATTAAAATTAGTTTTAATCTACGCATTCCCACATGACAACCTGCCATAGTAGAACTGGTCCAGATAGCAGGGTGTCACCTGGGGATGAGAAAACATTGGCGTGTTCTCTCGCTGGACAGAGTATATTATAATAGTAGATGCTAATATGCTATTTATAACAAGACACGTATATATTGCGTGTAATGTAATTATAATAAAATACTTTAATTAGTATTACCAATGTTGCACGATGATATAGTCAAATTGTCCACGACTACGTCACCAAGTGATGCTACGTTGGAAAGACCGACGGAGAGTGAGGCCAAGTTGCTGTTCTCGCAGTGTATCGCTAATCCGTTATCGGAATCTGCCAAGCAACGACAGGGGTGCAAAGCCAGTTCAGGCAAACTGCCTATTTTCGGACACCTATACTTAGGTCCTGGTTCGTTGTATTCGCCATCGACGCAGCAAAAGTAGAGAATAAACACTAGGAATATGTGAATCGCCATTTCTTTGAATGACTAGAAAAGAATAATTTTTACTATTTATAATTTAGAATAAATTATAGTAACCCATCTAATACCTATACATAGATATTATAATTTATAAAAACATAATGTTTGTAATAATTTACATTGTAATTTTATTTTATAATATTTTATAATAACTCGCTGAAAAATGTTATTGTATAGGTAGGTTTACACTCAGTTTTTATATTTTTACATTGATATTTAGTATTTCATGTTTTTCCCCCGCTGAAGTACTCAAGTACCTATACCTATATAAATATTAATTAGGCTTAAGAATTCAGATCCGTAGATATAATATAATTTATTATAAAATAGTAAATACCTACTTTTAATGTGATTAGTGATTACCTACAAAGTATTAAGATTACAATAAGAGTGCATGTAGGTAGCTATACTTTTATTTTTCCTTCCTGAAACATGAAAGCGAGATGTATTATAAAGAACCGAATAATTATTCTGGTAGAGACGTGTTACGAGCTTTTACGCTCTATATATAAAGCTAGCTTTGATACCAAGGCCAACCCTGTCAACTCCTTTAAAATACAAACAACCAGTAATTTTATTTGGATACAAACATTTTACAACAACTTAAAAACACTTAACATTTTAATATTTGATTCATATCATGGCAAATATTCAGGTTTCTTTGTTATAAACTTAAAACTTTCAAACTTCGAGGTTCTTAACTCAACATTTAAAAAATTTAGATTATTTATTTATTTTTGTTTAATTTACAAACAGAAATAAGTGGAGAAAATTACTGATTTAATATTTTTCTTTTTTTCTTTAACAAAACAATCCTCGTCCTTCACGAACCACTATAGTGAAACTGTTGGATCTGTGAAAATGGAAAAAATTATACCTATCTGTGGGAGACTGCATTTAATATTTATAAAACATATATGTACGATGTCCCGGAAAACATTAATACAATGAAAATTGATGACTATTATTTATATATATACATATAATAGAATAATACTGTCATAGTGGCATTACAATATAATATGTAGCTGGTCCCCTACCCCCTGTAGTAAGTAACTATAAATGGCAATTTATATGAAAACATATTATTAGTATTATTATTTATTTAGTGTTATTAATCATTAAACATTACAAATCTATAATAGGTAAATATATATACCCCATAATAATTTCCATGAAAATATTCTTCAACTTCCAATATGGTTCATTATTTTACAACTCTATAATTATTTAGATACATAATCCAATAAAGAAAGTTATAGTAATTTAATATCCAGCTACAATTTAAGTCAGTGGCATTTTTTGGAAATAATACTAATATAGGTACCTAAGTAATATAATATTTCTGAACTAGGAAACTGAATTATATTACTTTCATTATAGATCATAGTTCGCAAGCTTCAATGAGTTATTCAATCCTAGTAAGTAGATAAATATCTGGTACCTAGTACCTACATAAATTGCTATATTCAAATCAAACCTATGGTTATCTTTAAGTAATTTATATACATTTCAGGGCTTGAAAACATTATAATAACGTTAAGATTATAACGTTATATTTGACTAAAAATGATTGAAATTTGTAAACGTAATTATAACGGGAAGCGAAAATCAAAAATAATTAAATCCCGCAAAACAAAACATAACGTTTAACAAAATAATATATATTATACCTATATGTATAGTATATCATTAAACAAAACGTAATTTATATAATATCATTGAGCGAAAAATATGGCAAAACGAAATATTTGTTGTTTATTTAAAAGGCTATTGATTTCGTAGAAACAATTATTTCATGCAATCAATCTAAGAATTGATAATATTATACTTCGTATCCGGGCCATTGCCTACCCGCATTAGTTATTGTTTTTAAATTCAATATCTATTAACACTTTTTTAAATAGGTAACGATAAACACAAAAATTGTGTAACGTTTTAATTGTAAAAAACATAAAAGGGAATTTTTTTAAATGCAAGCCCTGATGCATTGTGACGACGTGACGTAGGTATAGTAAGGAATAACTATAAAAAATATTAGAGTAGATAGGTACCTACATATTATAGTATAGTATTATATATTTATGTGAATCCATTTACCCTTATTTCCTGTGCATTGTCATCTTATGTAGGTACCTACCTAGGTATTTATGTTTGTCGTAACTTAACTCATATAGCCACATATTATACCTATCTAATTTATAAATTCAAATATATTAGGTATATAATATTATAATACACCTACTAAATCATATTTCATAATACTGACCTGTATTATTTCATTAAACAACGACTATGATATCCGTCATTTCTTCGTTCGTGTGATTACAAATACAATATGCTTTCCTCTCTACGGTTCTTCATTGTCATCTATGAAATTTATTAACAACTTTATTATGAACACGACGTGTATTCGTTCCTTAAACGCGCTAGACTACTACAGTTTCAGTGTATTACTACAACAAACTGCGGTTAAGACGATGACTATATGCATAGTAGGGGTAATGTCCTCGGAAGAAGGAGAGAAAACTACTATAGAATTTGGTGCGTTCAATTCCCTTTCACTCGGTGTGCCATGAATCATAATAAATACAACACACCACAACACCACAGCCTTAATATTAATTAACTGGTAATTATTAGAATTAGTCATTAGGTAGATATTATGGCAAAATTACCTATCTATTATACAAAATTAATATTACAAAATGTTGTGACTATTTGCACATTTGCACAATTGCACAAAAAATATGATGCAGTATAGAGGGATCGAATGTGCCTCTTCATTGATTGTATTACATAGGCAACAATGTAATGGATGTGTTAAATTTTAATTCAATGATACATACAAAGAAAAACGATTCTGAGCAAAGATGGTCAGTATATATTTCTAACTGTCTAAGGATTATTATTATTACTAATACAGTACCTAGGTTAATATATTTTTTGCTAAAAACAAATATCATATATTAACTTATATGTTATAAGTTATAGATAGGCCAAGTGGACAAGTGGGCGCTCTGCTGTTCAGTAATAGTTGTCAAGCATGTCGTTGTAATAGATGTGTTATATTTTTACTCAATAATAAATCATTCTTAAAAAAACGATTCTGAGTGGAGACGTTGCGTCAGCCTAGCATATACTTGTATAAATAATCAAATATACCTAATGGCTAATAATTAACAAAATAATTAATAACAATTTAAAATATCTCATGGCTATAAACAGCGTAACTTTCCAGTGAACTTTTTCTTTTTGATAGGTATAGTAAAACTTGTTGGGAATCTTCTATTAACATTTCTAAAGTTAGCTATGAAAAAAAATACTTTTATGAATTTCGAACTGAAATAGTATATTGTGTGGCAAGGACGGGAAGTGAGCCACACATATAATATTTTTTGTCACGCCTATAACGATATGTGCGCCCTGCACTTTTGGGGATTTCCACTTTACCGCCCACTGGACGGAAAAAGGACGCTTTCGGTGCAGGTGTGACAAAAAATAAATTACAACATTTACAACATTTCTCATAAGTCATAGATATAAATTGTTCATAAATAGAGTCAAAATTGTTTGAAAATGCTAATATAAAAATGTTGTGATTATTTCAAGTGTATACGGTTATTTGTTTTGGAAATACAACAAAATCACAAAAATCGATTAATGGGAATTCGAATTACCGCTGAATATCAAATATTCAAACGCTCATAAAAAATTAATGTTCCATTTAAATTTACTTTTAAATTCAAGTATCTATATAGTTATTCATTTTTGAATTAAATTACAACAAAATTAGAAAATGGTTAAATGAGGAACAAGGGAATAACCAATGTTGTAAACATTTTAACTTCAAGCGCTCATAAAAATTTAATTTGACTTTCCGGTAGACAATTTCTTTTGGTAAAACTAGATAAACTTATGAGAATCCTTGAATAAAATTTTCACATCTTAAAATAATTTACACATATTCGTGATTTTTACGAATGGTGTCACAATTCCAACTTTAAATGCTTATAAAAAAATTATAAATTTGTATGTTCAAAGCCGGATTAAGCGGATAGGGGGGTCTAGTTGGGCGAAAGCCCCGAGGCCCTCTCAATTACCAAAATGAAAGGGGCCCAAACACATTTTTTAGTGATTTTAAACAAAAGTTTTTCTAGTATATTCTAGTTATTATAGTTATTCTAGGTTTCTTATTATGTAATTTCGTCCAAATTTGAATTTAAAATGTCTGTAAAATATAACTGTGTTCATATATTTTTTAGAGTTTTTGGTTACAGTATGAACTATTTATGAGAACCTTTGGTTTAAATTTGCAATCCTTAGCTATAAAAACTGAACATTTTATAATTTATTAATTTCAATGATTGATAATTTTCGAGAATTTGATACATTTTGTCAAAAATCCAACTTTAAATGCTTATAAAAAAAATTTGTGCCTATGTATTTTTAATATTATTCAACTGATATTGTAACAATATATCAGGAGCCTTGTATTAAATTTTTACACTTTTTGGCATAACAGATAAAACTTTATTGATATTCATAGAAAAAAAAACTAACAAAATTGAAAAATGAAAATGTCCGTAAACAGCTCAAAAAGAGTCAAAATATATTCAAAATTGTATGGTGCATAGGAAATGCTCATATAAACATTCAGTGAAATTTTCATATATTTACAGTTATTCGTTTTTGAATTTCAACAAAATTAGGAAATCGCTACATGAGAAATCGAGTGAATATCCAATATTGTAAAAATTTGAATTTAAAACGCTCATAAAAATTTAATTTGACTTTCTTATAGAATTTTTTTTTTTTTTATAAATGTAGATAAACTTTTTATTTTTTATTGATAAAGGTAGATACTCTTATAAGGAATCTTGTATTACATTTTAAAACCTTAGAATTAAAAAGAAAAATTTTTACGAATTTTTAACTCAAAATAATTTGCAAATTTTCGTGATTATTCCATATTTTGTCAATTAATGAACTTT